GGCGTCGGCGAGCAGCCTTGTGCCCTGGCGTGGAGGCGGTGGTCCTGCTGCGGCTTGGCGACCTGCAGTGGTTCGGCGGCTCGGCGGTGGCAGCGGGGCTCGGGCGGCTCGATGGGGCGGCGGGCCCCGATCTGACGGAGTGGATCCGGATGGTGGAGGTGCTCTGGCGGCTCTTGGCAGCATGGATCCGGCGGTTGGGGCTGCGGCCGGAGGCTCCTGGCTCTTCGGCGGCGCCGCCCCTGCTGCTATTGTGGCTGTGGCAGATGTGCTTGGGTTTCGGCCTGGCAACTCTGCTCGGTGAGATGGGGTGGGGTGGCGGGCCCCCTCCTTGCCTGGTGCTGCGGTGCTGGACGGCTTGCTAGCCCGGCGTGGCTGGCGGCATGGTGGAGGCTGCCGGGGCGGCGGCCCCGGATTTGGTGGAAGCGGCTTCGGCTGGGGGGTGGTGCGCGCGTCTGGGCGTGGTGGGTCGTGGGATCCCACGACCAGTGCGAGGTTGGCCTTGGCAGGATGGGGTTTGTTGGTTGCGTTGATGCGGACAAGTGGTGGTTGAGCATCTCCGAGAGAAATCCTGTGTCCGGCCTTTGCCGGATCGGGCGACGGCGACGTCCGTGGGCGTCGTGCTCTTTCTTGGAAGTGTTGCTATTGTGTGGTGCTCCTCCTCCCTCCCCGCGGCCTTGACTTCGGAGAGAAACCTCAGGTCTTCAGGATCGGGCGATGAAGGCGCCTTCACGTCTTCTTCCTCCTTGGGGGCATCGTCTCGGAGCCGGCCACAACCTGAAGACCAGTGGATGGCGGCATCTTCGCCGCGTGGTTTGCGGCATCTTCGCCGCGTAGTTTGCTGAGGCGGCCATTTCGGGGGCGTGGATTTCTGTTTGGCAACGATGATGGCTTCGAGAGGAGCTTTGGTCGCGGCTCGGGCTTTGGTAGTCGGATCTTCCCGGCGTGTCCGAGGTGCTCTTCCGCTGGTTGCTTGGTTGCTTTGAAGTCGGAGCTGCGGTGGAGTGTGTCCAGGCGGTGACGATGACAGGCGCTCGGTGGTCGGTTTCGGAGGGCACGGACGGCGCAAGTTCTGCATATTTCCCTTGTGATGATCATCGTCAAAGTCGGAGCTGTCGGTTGTTCACGCGTGTGGCCTTCTGTTGGCATGTGCCATCATGGTTTTCTGTGCAACTGTTTGTAGCTCTATGATCCCATGTCGGTGGCCAGGTTGGCCGGTGGTGCCCATGTCATGTGGGTTGAGTTGTATCGGTTTTAGTTCGGCTTTCCGTCAATTAACCGGACAATTCTCTTCTTCTTAATCAATGAAAATGGCAAATCTCTTGCCTTGTTTCAAAAAAACATGCCAACCAAAACAATTGAAGTAAACGGATGGCTGTCGCTGGCATTTTATACTCCCTATCCTTTTGGAGTTGACCTCTGCTGATAGTATCTTGAAAAATATTCAAGTTGGACAGTTAAAAATCATGTGTAAGTTTGTCTCGAAAGCATCTTCAATGTACGAGTGAAACTACTATCTTTACAGGGAAAGAAGTACCAGTGACAGTGATTTCCTTCAGAAAAAGTTGCTGGGGCAATTATTTCGATATGAGTTTTTTTTAGACACCATTTCGATATGAGATGAAACAGGCAGACACGATCGGGCTAGGCTTTGGGCGATTGGAGCGGCCTCGCTGAGAGTGATCGACCGGTGCCACCGGGCAAGGGTCGGACCCCAACTCGCTCCCCGCAGCCGGGCCGGCCGTGATGCTTCCGCTGCGGCGCTTGTCGTGGGCCTGCCGCCGGCGAGGTCTCGCCCAGTTCGCCGCCGGAACCCCCCGGGAGGCGGCGGACGCGGTCGTGGTGGGCGCCGGCGCGGTCGGCCTCGCGGTGGCGCGCGCGCTTGCCATGGCCGGGCGCGAGGTGGTGGTGGTCGAGGCGGCCTCCAGCTTCGGCACCGGCACCAGCTCCCGCAACAGCGAGGTCATCCACGCCGGCATCTACTACCCTCCCCGCAGCCTCAAGGTGCGCTGCCCCTTCCCGGCCAAGCCGTATAATCTACGAGTTCGTGCACAAGGATTCTACTAGCTTTCTGTGATATTTCAGTTCAGTTCAGTCAGTTCTCACCAGTGACCACATTGGAGTATTGGACAGTTGACATTAGTATTTTAGCATCTCAGTCTCTTAGGTGTCTGTGTCCTTAGAGTTTGAGATTGGTATACAAATACTATTGCTGAAAATAAAACACATATAATTCATCGGGCAAATAGTAATCTTCTTCCCTGCTTTGTGTTATTTTCAGTTTTGCACATTGCAGTAGCAATATTCCCGTTGATACTTTTGAGGTATATATATACTGTCTCCAATGCTGAGTGCACTTGTAGAATCACAGTTCATTACTTCATTTTCCCCTTCTGTCCATCTATGGCATTCTTAATAGTATAATGATCCCTTCTTCTGTCCTATTCTATTTGATGAATTACCAAAGTGCTTTCTTGCCATGCTGAAATTAATTATAGATTTTTCTCCTACGGAATGTTTTTGTAGGCTAATCTTTGTGTAAGAGGAAGGGAAATGCTCTACAAGTACTGCACAGAACGAGCAATCCCCCATAAACGGCTCGGCAAACTTATCGTTGCTACTGGTGTTGCAGAGACTGCAAAGCTGGACATGCTCCTCAAGAGCGCTAAAGACAATGGGGTGAATGATCTTCAGATGATGGAAGGTTCTCAGGCCGTGGAGATGGAACCTGAACTGCGTTGTTTGAAAGCTTTACTATCACCTAGTACTGGGATTGTTGACTCGCATTCATTCATGCTCTCCCTTTTGGTACTTGGCTAATCTGTTCTTGATTCTTACCATTTTTGTCTTTGCATTGTTTATTTTGCCTGCTATAATCCTCTAAATGATTCAATTATTTGAAAGGTCCCTTTTCACACTCTCCAAGAGTGAAAAAACTGTATAGATAACTGAAATAGCGCTACGTGGAGGGCCTCTGCACTATCGAAGCAATTTTAACTAGTTAAGATATGTTGATGTTCCTTTCTTTCGTTTTCCTTCTCAAATGAGCTCGCAGCAATGTTTGGAAGGTTGAGGCCTGATAATCCAAAAATATTCCCCATGCGTCTTTCCTGTACACAGCTATATTATGTTCATTTTATGTTAGTCCACTTCATTGTGTTGCATCATGCAAAACTCTAAATCTTCTCATACTGTCATGTGATTTCCTTTTCTTGTGATGCAGGCTGATGCTGAAAACCTAGGCGCAACCATATCATATAACACAGCAGTCATCAGTGGGCATGTTGGAGATGAAGGGATCGAGCTTCATATTTCTGAAAGCAAAGAGCTGGAGAATCAGTCTATAGGCTCTCCTGTACCCCCACAGATTGTTTTGCTTCCAAAACTTCTGATAAATGCAGCAGGTTTGAGTGCAATTCCACTTGCCAAAAGACTTGATGGCCTTGACCAAGCATTTGTGCCCCCGGCTTACTATGCCCGTGGATGTTACTTCACTCTCTCACAAACCAAGAGTCCTTTCAGCCACTTAATATACCCTCTACCAGAGGATGGTGGCATAGGGGTCCATGTCACACTAGACTTAAATGGCCTTGTCAAATTTGGACCAGATGTTGAATGGTTAGATGGTAAAATGGATGACATGTCATGTTTCCTGAATAGGTAAGCCATTGCAAATACTTGCTTGTTCAGTTTAATTATATATGATCTTTTTTACTTGTTATACACATCGCTGAAATTGATGGAGTTACAAACGTTCTAGTGGTGTCCAATATTTAAAAATAAAGTTACCACAGTTGCTGCCTAATATTAACTGGTTAATATGAAAATAGTTTCCTCTTCTTGAAAAAGCTAAGATGGTGTGTGACTTTTAGCATCTGTGTACATCAGGTTTGATTACTCAGTGAACCCCACCAGATGTTCTGGATTTTACTCTGTGATAAGGAAGTATTTTCCAAATCTCAAGGATGGTTCTTTGGAGCCTGGTTATTCTGGGATCCGACCAAAGCTTTCTGGCCCGGGACAGCGCCCTTCAGATTTTGTTATTCAGGTTATTATCTGATTTAACATAGTTCTCATATATCAGCTTGAAAGTTTACTTTTCACTGTCAAGTATCAACAAACCCGTGAAGCTGAACACTCCTGACTACTGCAGGGGGAGGAAGTCCACGGTATTCCTGGGCTGGTTAACTTGTTTGGTATAGAATCCCCTGGTTTGACATCAAGCTTGGCAATTGCAGAACACGTCGTTTCAAGGTATAACAGCACTTGATTCTCAAACAATCACCAATCGATGAATTGCAGCTGGATGAACCGGACGGCTGGAGTCTATCATGTGAATCACATTGCTCACAATGATTTCCTTGTTTATTTCCTTTTATTTTGGGGAAGAACAAGATGCTGCTTGTAAAGGTGCGACTCTCCAGCTTAGTTGAATAAACAAAATATATCGATTGTGGGTTGGTGTATTATGTGGATCCTCGCATACATCTTGTGGCAAGAGGATCCTCTGCATTACCAACTTGTGTCTGAGCAAAAGTATATGCATTACATCACCTGTTGACCATTTGATGAAAATTGGATGGCCAGGATTTGAATGGAAAACACAATGGTGTTGTCCATTTTCTTGCAGCAAAAATACGAGGCAACTCTGACAATTTGCCTCTGTTTTCGAATCGTGGAATGCAACTTAAACAGCTGCCGGGACTGAAATTCTATCACAAATATCTTGATAACACAGGCATGATTTCAACTATATCCATCAAAATTGTTCCTACATGGTGACTCTGATCACTTAACATTTCGAGAAATTAACATATGGTAATAGACTAATAGCAGTACATGGTCTCCGGCATAGGATCCACAAATATCACCAGGCAAAGGTTATAAAGGTATCTGAAAGCAATGGATGGGGTTGTGTAAGGGCAAGGGCAATGTCACAGGGAAGTGAAACTCTTCAAGCACCAGCTTGTCTGTTCCCAATTGTCCAGCTTTCGCCATTCCTATCATCTGAAGTTTAGCGAACGACGGTGAGTAAATTGACAGGTCAGCAAGAAAACAAAACATTTTTTTAAACAAGGTAATAAAAACTAAAAGCGTCTCACCGCTTCCTTTGCGCACGCCACTTGTAAACAGGCTGTGATGTTGAATTTAAAATCTCTTCTTCACGGAGCTTCCTTTTGCGTCCAGGTTTCTGCCCCAGTATTAAACAACTTCAGTAACTTCAAACTTGACAACAAAAACAGTACCACTGTACTATCGACGTGACCATTAAAATTTCATAAGCCAGTTCTTTTGAAGATTTTGACTTCAGGCTGCTTGAGACATCGGTTGATGACAAAATCTGAACTGGTTCAACTGAGTTGTATTTTTTACATTATTTTCACAAATAACATAACATTTTATGGTTCAGTCACTGAAGGTATTATACCGACTTCACCAAAGCAAAATAAATATTCTAATTCATCAGAGAAAACACACCTTCAGTTCTTTTTGCAAGGCCATTATTTTCACAAAATAACATAACATTTTATGGTTCAGTCACTGAAGGGATTATACCGACTTCACCAAAGCAAAATAAATATTCTAATTCATCAGAGAAAACACACCTTCAGTTCTTTTTGCAAGGCCATGTCCGCATACAATTTCTCAAGATTCTTAACCCTTTCTTTCCTGCTTTCTAACTCCTTGTAGGAGGAAGCTGTTTTCCTATAAAGAATTTGACGGGATATAAGTTTATCAGGCAGCACCTGATGCACTAATGTGCACAAGAATCAATATCATGCTTTGAGCTAGAGAAAAAAAATCCCATCCCACATCCAAGCCATTACCACCGAGTAATTTGCTGAATGCATTAACATTCACACCCACATCAACCATGAATAGCATGAACTAAATCACCAAAACACCCAAACTCTCAGGTCTCAATAATAAAGAGCAGGTATTTTGACGAGAGTAAAGACCAAAGGAACAGGTGTAATATTCATTCACTAATAAACCGATAAATGAAAGCTATCCTTTCCAAGTATAACATTAATCACAGTAGCCACATATATAACACAAAATCATATTCCCAAAAGAACAGCACACTACCTCTTTATACGAGAAGGGATGTTACCAAATTGAGGTGCGCTGCTGCTTTCACCTATCCTAGATCGTATTTCTTTGGCTTCTTCTCTGAAATGAAACAGCTAATCATCTCAATATTTAAAAAATCTTAGGTAGCTAGCCAGCGATTCATAAATGAATCTTAAAAAATTAAATTCAAAACTGAAAAATGGTAAGAAGCAAGAATGCAACATTTATACCTGTCTTCCGCAAAGTAAATGTGCTTGTTTGAACGCTTGTCATCCACTGCGTGAAGGGTTGAGCTCAATCGTTCAACTTTCTACAGTCAAAGGTGTGACATTAAAATTGGATCAGAAATATAGGATTTAGCCACAAAAAACAAAGTACTCATTTGTTTTGAATATTTCAAAGTCACCACAAACCTTTCTTTCACTTTGAATGGCCTGAAAGATGTATCCCATGTCTTTATGCTTCAAGAGCATACGTTCCTCTTCGGTGTACTTATTATTTGCTTCAGGCCTAATAAAAGGTACATGACAATCCAAATCAACACGTAGAATATACCAAGGTTCGAACTGCCAGAGTAAACTACTCTATAACGTACTTGGGCCTATGGATTCCATCCACGGTTTTACTGTTGATCATCTTGAAATAGAACTCATCTGGGTTCTTGAACGATGCCTTCTCCTTCAGATTCTGTATTTACCAGATAACAACAAGGACCATAGGTTAGCTATAAGATAGCTATGATAAACATCCCAGGAATGTACCAAATAAACAAAAGGAAATGCCCCCCTGAGCTCTCCTAGGTCCTAATAAGGGTGTGCTTGGGTTGCTTTGTATACAAAGCGGGGGGAAACCCTTTTTCGGCATAAGGGTGTGCTTGGGTTGACCTCAATTCGATTTTCGGCCAGTGTTGGCAAAACAAAGGAACTAGAGACAGTTGAAGGGGGCACATCGCATGACATAGGTGAAGAGAAGGAATGACACACAAGAGTCCCAACTCGGGAAGGAACAGAAGCAATACCCTGATGAAATCCTCCTTGCGCTGGTAGGCCCTGGCGCGGAGGATATGGTCCTTGTGCTTCTCCAGAAGCCCGTACTTCTTCCGCGACTCCCTGCAACACCAATGCGAATTCCAGAATCAGTCCGCAAATCGGCGCAGACGCGAGAGGAAGGTCCAACACGGAGACGCCCCCAGAAGAGCCGCAGGGCTCCGATGGCGGCGGCGGCCGCGCCGTGGGAGGCGAGCCCGTGAGGCTCGAGGGGAAGCGGGAAGCGTCGCGCAAGGGGAGGAGGGACTTACGGCTGGGCGCGCTCCTTGTGAGCCCGCCGCGGAATCGAGTTCCGCAGGGACGACATCTTCGTCCTCGCTGCGACTCTCCCGGAAGAACGAGCGAATCGGCGGAGGATCGGATTTGGGAGGGGCTACGCGGCGAGGAGAGGGGAGGCCGGAAGAGAAGGAGGCGGCCGAGCTAGCTAGGGTTCAGGGTTTGGGTTTTCCTCGGGCAGTCGGGCGTGCGCGATGCAAGATGAAGAAGGGTCGAAGCCTGGTCCGCGAGTCCGGTGCAAGGCGGCCCGTTCGTATTGGGCTGTAGTGATACGTTTTTTCTTTTTTGCGGGGAGGATGAACAATTGTTTTTTTTTTTGAAACTGGCTGAACAATTGCTGGTGTGAACAATCGCATTTGCAAAGCATGGCATCAGCATTTAAAAAAAGAGTGTGTTTAGACTATTTTTTTTCATCTTTTTCTAAAAAAAGAAGAAGCAATTTTTCATCTCGCCCGGAAGAACTGATCAGGTGTCAAACTGTAGAGACTGCCACATTGTGGAAATCCAATTCGGCTCTTGGGAGCATATCCTGCCCACCAAAAATGTTTTTTGCAAATGTAAAAAAAATATATGTGTTTTTCGTCACACCAAAATGCTACCTGCAAATTTTTGGGAGGAAAGCTTAAGTATTTGATATGTGCCAAAAAAAAGTCGGATGACAAATGTTACCTCCAAATTTACACTTACTTATGTTTTTTTCACCGACGAAGCACTATCACCCCGTTTCACATGAAAATTGTCAAGCACACTTCTTACACTAACGAGAACATTTAAAAATAGAATTATTAAATTTTATTTACTATTTATTTTGAATTTACTATTCATTAGAGAGCATATGCACCCTAAAACCAAAACGGCCCTCCTGGCACATTGCCTCTTATATGATGTCCATGGTTGAGTGGACACGAATAAAATCAGAGCTTGAGTAAGGATAGCTAGCAGCAAACAAGTTCCACAAGATAAACTTATGCACCCAGCGAGCGACTTCGACTGTACCGTGTTAAAAAAAACAAACTTATGCACCCAGCGAGCGACTTCGACTGTACCGTGTTAAAAAAAACAAACTTATGCACCCATATGACAAATGGCATTGCACGTTAGCAGTACACGTTGCATTCACATTTTCGGCTACAACATTACAAAGCATGTTTCTCACGGATAACTCTATCTTCCCGCTGCTGCTGCAGCTGCAGCTGTTTGTGTTTCTGCTCAAACTGGAATTTACAGTCAACTCTCAAAACTGTAACTTCGAAAAAACTACGGCGTTCAATTTTAATCATCTCTAATACAGCTGCCTATCTCTAGTACGCAAGACAAGAGGTTACAAGAGCTGTGGGGGTCCAGAAGAGGCTGGACGGGCAGTGCTTGCTTTAATCTGCGGGCCGGCTTTGGGCTCAGGCTTCGGAAGAGCGCGATCTGACCCGCGCTAGGATTTTGACGACCCTGCATTTTTTCCTTCAAGCGCTGACAATCTCGCCGGTCATCAGTTCAACACAAACCGACACGGAGCATATCCTCCTCATACAGCTTTCGGCTGGACCTGTTCGAAGTCAAACACCTCGAACATCAAGCGCCGCACATCAGGCTTGCCGTAGACGCAGTACGAGAGCCCGTGTATCGCTTGCTGGACAGCAGTCGTGGAAGGATTTCTCAGCCGGCGGTTGTGTTCGAATCTGTCCTGTACAGTCTCCCCGTATATAATGTAGTGGTGAAGGTGCTTGTCCCGCAGGTACCGCCCGCAATACTTGTTCATCAACAACCTCCTATGCTTCTCTGACAACCACCTGCCAGGTGCGTCGAGATGCTTCATGAGCAGCCTCTCTGCCAATACTAGATCCTGATCATGAGGGAGTTCAGACCTTCAGTATGACTATTGACCAAATGGAGAGCGGTCAGATGCTGAAAACGTCACAAGATGGGCAACAAACCTGGATCTTCTGACCAACATATTCCAGACGCTCAAAACAAAATCTTGGATGCTCAAACTTGTATTTTGAGGGATGCATGAAGCACAGCTGCAGTAAAAAACCAATACAGATCATGTTGATTTATGTGCAGACAATAATGAAATATATCAACAGTTTGAGTTGTTGGACAACTAGGAAGCAGATTTGATAAGACAAGCAAGTAATGCACCACAAAACATGTTTGCATGCAGAGAAATAAGTAAACATTAGAAAGGAAGACCATAAGGAGAGAAAAGACTAGCGGTGTCAAAATACCTGGAGGCCAAGTCCAAGTTCTATATTCCTTGCTTCTGTAATTTCTGGAATTTTATCATTCGCTGGCAAGGGGTATCCTAGGATGTTCATGATTTTGGGTCTATTATCAAAATCCCAAATGTTTCCTCTGAAACGATGCATGCCTGGTGGCACACATGCTCGGAAAAGCCTAGGATGAGCAAAAAGGGCATCCGCTGGTGGCTGCAGTACATGCAACAGTTAACTAGATAGAAAGAAGTGACGGTGAAGATTTGGGACAAACGGCAGGAACGGTCAATACCCGGTAGGCAGCAACATCTTGCCATGCGAGTTGTCTCTTCTCAAACTCCACTGAAACATAATCAACGTCTTCTAGTTGACGCCGCAGTTTTGGCTGACAGCTCTCTTCTTCAGGGTCCATCCCGAACGCCTCAAAGAGAACACGATAGACTTCAGGCATTCCAAAGCACAGATATATAGCTCCAAATAATGCCCAGAACACAGCCCTGAAGTACAAACATAAAGTTTAATGAAGACTACCCCATATATGTACTCCAGATTGCCAGTTAACAGTACAAATAGCTCTGACAAACCAAACAATCAAGAGAAAATTCTTCAAATGTGTTAGTATTATCATGAATTTATGAAGTTAGGTTATGTGCTCCATATTCTTATGCAAAGAAAATTTCCACGGCAAGTTAGCTAGAACATAAAAGGGAGACACAGCAGTACACAATAAAGGAGATTGAAGAATGCAATTCAGTACAAGTGTACAACATCTAACAGGATTATGTAGGGGGAACTTGACTGTTAACAAGGCTGTAGAACATCTAACAACGGAGACAACTTCACTGAGAAAGCCACAGAACATACATATAACATTGAACTAAAGAGTGGCCAAAAAATAAGCTAACAATACTCGCTTTCACCATTAATGTTATGCCAAGACATGCAAGTTTACTGAATATGTTGAATATGTCAAGAAGATAACAACTAGTTAAATGTACCCCTACCAAATTTCTCCTAGCACCGCTCCACCAAATCACCCATACATTTCCCAAAAAAATAACTACCACAGCAGAGTAAGTATGGAATGCAGATCAAGCTCATGCGAACAACATTGATATCTAGTAACCCACAAGTTGATATTTAGGTGTTAAACTCATAGGCAGTTATCTTCCTTATCGAATTTATAAGGTGCTAACTAGATGTATACTATGCTAATAGCAAATGTGCCATGGACGATTTCACTCTTACACTGATGAACAGAATGTTGACTGATTGCTCGCATTGTCCTAATGCATGATCCCAGACCAGAATTATACCTCTACTACAATTCAAATCGCACATTCCCAGTCAGTAATTGAAGACTTACTTCGTGGGCGGTTCCCTGTCCTTCCGTATCATCTTATCCAAATCGTCGTAAGGAAACACCAAATTATGCAGGCTGGCCGCCTTGATCCATTTGGGCAGCATCTTCTTCCCGATGAGCGCGAAGACCCGCTCCCGCATCGGGCCAGGGGACTCCCTGGGGTACCTCTGCAGGAAGAACTCGCAGAAGGCGAGCTCCAGCACGAACTGGCCCAGGAACCACAGCCTGGAGTGGCCGTTCCGCACGTGGCGCGTGCGCGTGCGCTCGGAGGAGGGGTCCAGGTGCTGGAAGGCGAGGTAGAGGAGGACGTCGAAGTGGCGCGCGGGGCAGTCGTCGCCCTCGCCGAGCGTCTCGGAGGGGGCGAGCGGGTAGCCGAGCGCCTGCTTGGCCTCGAGGAGGTACTCGTCCATCCAGGTGCGGTCGGCGGCGGAGAGCGGCGAGGAGGGGAGGCAGGAGGAGAGCAGCGGCAGCGACTTGAGCGACAGCTGCGGGCTGTTGAGGAACCGCTGGGTGAGGCGCTCGTCGTCGAGCGGCGGCTTGAGGATGAACCGCCGCGGCGGGTGCTTCTTCTTGGGCGAGACGGCCTTCTTCCGCTGCGCGAGCTCCCGGAGGAGCCGGCTCGGGCTGTTCGCCGGCTCCGAGGGGGAGGCCTGCGGGGGCGGAGGGGTCTGGTCGGCCGCCACGGCGAGCACGCGGGCCCGGCGCCGCGTGGCGGGGAGGTGGAGGGGCGAGAAGGTGAGCGCCTGGAACGCCATGGCGGCCGGTGCCATGGTGGTGGCCGCTGGGTTTTGCGGTTTGGGGGCTGGAGGAAGGGGGAGGAAGGAGGAAGAGGATAAGCGTAGAACGATAGGAAGGGGACCCATCGAGAGCCGTCCGTTCTGCGTTCGATGGCTCAGATCTTCCGGATCCGGGCCGAATGGGAGGAAATATCTTCAGCTATCTATCCGCCTTCGAAATGACATGGCAACCCACGTGAGGCAGTGACAGTTCGCCGGCCCCGTCTCGACAGAAAAGGTAAAGTCTCCGCCGCCGATCCCTCGCCGCCGGTAGGCGGGCAGTCGGGGCGCCACCAGCTTACCACCGGCCTGCGCGCCGCCCGTCGATGGCGAACCCGAGGAGGGCCATCGCGCTGCAAATCAACACCCAGACCCCGCCATTCCCCGCCGCCGCCGCGCCCTCGTCCTCCTCGCTGCCCTCGTCGCTCCTCCACTTCCTGAAGCGGCCGGCGTCCTTCCCCTTCCTGCTCTCCCTCTTCGTCCTCCTCACCTGGATCTCCCTCCACTTCCACCAACCCACCCCCTCCGCCTCCCTTCAGCGCCCCACCGTCGTCCACGACCCTCAGGCCAACCTCGTCCGCTACCCCGCCGCCCTCCATCCCACCCCCATCGCCGCCGACGAGCGCGGATGGCTACTCGACCCTGTCGCCGCAGCCCGCGAGGCCGGCCTCCCAAGTGAGCTCCCCTCTTGCCTCGCGAATTCTACGTTTCCAGTTATGCTCCCTTGTTGTTAGCTCGCTGCAAAAATTGTTTCAATAGAATAGTTGGAATGTGGCAGGGATGATGTAAAATATATTACACTGTGTCATCAATTGCAGAAGTAAGGTCTGCCTAGTTCATACTTGTAGTAGATACTCCAGCTCTTGCTCAGTTTGAAGTTTATAGTGAAAAGAAGAACAGAGTGATGTTCTGAACTGTGTCACTGGTGGAAGTGCAGCACAAACATGCTATCCTTTTAGGATGTACTCCCTCCGTTCCAAATTACTCGTCGCAGAAATGGATGTATCTAGAACTAAAATACATCTAGATACATCCATACCTGCGACGAGTAATTCGGAATGGAGGGAGTAACACCTTTCAGAGTGGCACTTGGTTTGCACCTTTCAAATTAATCTTGCTACCTTAGTGCCAGTCTTACTTGGAGATTGTTAAGCTGGGTGTGCTATATCAACCAGTATAGGCACCTTGGCTGAGCTGGGCATATGCCGCTTTCGTCTGTTGTTAGCTCGCTGCAATAAGTTGTTTTAATAAAAGAGTTGGAATGTGGCAGGGATGATGTAGAATAAATAACACTGTCATCAATTGCAGAAACCAGGCCTGCCTAGTTCATATTTGTAGTAGATACTCCAACTCTTGCTCAGTTTGAAGTTTATAGTGAGAAAAGAACAAAGTGATGTTCTGAACATGACACTGGTGGAAGTGCGGCACGAACATGCTGTCACGCGTGGCTAACACTTTTTGGAGCGGCACTTGGTTTCCACCTTTCAAAATAATCTTGTTACCTCAGTGGCAATCTTATTTGGAGAATGTTAAGTGGGTTTGCTTTGTCAATTAGGCACCTAGGTTAAACTGGGCATGTACCACGTCCGTTGGCAGCATTGTTTGTGTGAGTTTGATACAAGGTGCCTCTGTGTTCACCCCTTGGCATATGGCCCAACAAACTGTGATCACTGAGATGTTTTGGTGGTTGGATCGTTCCACTTGCTTTCCATCTACATATATTAGACAGATACTCCCTCTGTTCCAAAATAGATGACTCAACTTTATACTAACTTTAGTACAAAATTAGTACAAAGTTGGGTCATCTATTTTGGAACGGAGGGAGTAGATGGGTAGCTTTCTTTCACAAGCAACCAATGATCAAGACTTGTGTTCAGAATTGTCAGTTCCATCTATCTATTTATTTATTTTCCTCAAATGTCCCTATTTATCATACTGATATGTATCCCTACGGCCGAAAGTAGAAAAGGTAGCAAAAGAGAACATTTGCAATATGGGGGTAGCAACTGATTGATTTTTAGCTAACCAAGTTGGAGAATATTCTGCTACACAAATATCTCCCTTCTTTTGTACTTCATTTTACCTTTGTCGGTTCTATCAATAGATGCCCATCTTACTGGGAAAAAAGAGGACTTTCCATGCATCACTGCTGTTTTCCCACTACTTACTACTCCCTCCGTTCCTAAATATAAGTCTTTGGAGAGATTCCACTATGAACCACATACGGATGTATGTAGATGCACTTTAGAGTGTGGATTCACTCATTTTGCTCCGTATGTAGTCCATAGTGAAATCTCTACAAAGACTTGTATTTAGGAATGGAGGGAGTAGTTACTACTGTGTTGAACTTGAGACTCTTTGTCGAGTGTATGGCTGGTAGCCAGAATGAATTTGCTCTATGGTCTAGTTTGCCAGTATGTTGAACTTGAGGCTGTTCATCTCTGTGTTTTGTTGTAACTTTGCTTTGTTCAACTTGATTCTAAATTTGTGTCATCATGCTCAAAATAAAGTACTATTATTCATATGTTGTGTCCATCAGTGTCTCTACTCTCTATTGATTGTGTTCTAAAGATTTGTGTAGATATTGAAAGTCTCTACTGATCTTCTGCATACGAGGAGAAAATTAGGCATGGATTACTAGCCTACAACTTATGGGACCGTGTCACTTTGTAGCTGCAGAACTCCAAGTTTTTTTTCTCTTGGGGTTCACTCTGGAACAATATTTACATGACAAGAAGTCATAAATACAGAAACATCGATTCCACGCTCTTTTGTATGGATTTGTGGAATGCTATATTTACTTGGATGTGATTGCCTGGAATTTTGCTCTACAGCTTAGGCAGGACTGATGTGAATAGAGCACAGGCTGTTTTTCAGTATCTGACTGGACATTAATTATAGTGTTCAATTTGTGGCAGATGGGGCGTTGGTCTGTCTTTCACTACACGTGGGACTGATCCAGCCAGGTGGTTTGCGTGGCAACCATCGTCACCATACATGCAATGAAACATTCGTCATCTGGGGCGCAAAAACAAAATTCAGGGTAATGATATTCTCTTCTTCATTCACTCACTCAGCCCCTGATAATCACATCCTCTAGTGTTGATTGGTTGTTTTTCCGTGATAAACAGTTAGAAAATCCTGATGTAAAAGATAAAGGATACGGAGAAGCCATAATTGCTGCTGACGAGGTAGCCATTGTCGCAAGCGCAAGATCAACCGCACACGCATTGATCAATATGGATGTGCGACCGACCTTCTTCTTGGGATGTCAAGATACACCAATAAATCCCAACAGTTCAAATACTGACTACAAGGTCTGGAAAGATCTCTGACATCCACATTGCTCCTATGGTCTGACGGTGAGCAATATTTCAAAGACTAATACAATATGATCCGGAGAAACTGAAAGTAGCATCGAGCCTTCAGAATTCACCTCGGTGAAGATTTTAAGGTAGATGCTTGTGTATAGTTGAGGTGACACTTCCAGTTGGCTCTCCTAGTTCTTTCGTCTGTTTTTTTTTTCTTTTTTGTTGACAAGGGGTTATTCTTGTTACTATTTGTTTGTTTTCTTTCTCTTGCATATAGTCACTGGTCATGTACTCCTTTGTTAAAGGAAACAGACCTACCTTATTTGGCTTAATATTCTCAGAAAAATTTCTTTGTCTGTATGTGCAGCATATGTCTGCCGAGCTGTTAACTGACAGATCATAGATGCCTCTTTATATTGACAAATTGTTGAGCTATGCGCTGCCGGGTACTAATTTGCAGATGCCGTTTCATGCCTCCTTGTATTGCCGAATTGCAAAATCAGAAATGACCTCTTTGTGCAGACGAATTGCAAGTGAAACAGGGCCACGTATCCAGGACACGTTGATGTGCTCTCGAGCTTGTTCTGTGACCTGTGCCTGGCTTTGGCTTACACCTCTCTGCTTTTCTCCATTCGATTGTTAGCCATCAACATCATCAATCGAGTCGGATTCGTTTTCCCCCACACGGTTCTTACGTGCCACAGATTTGCAAACGGCATGTGGCGATATTCATCGACAATACTTGCAGCGAGATGAGACGAGATATTTTAGGTAGGATATGCAGTTTTATTTTCAGGTTATAGGATATACAACTTCATCCAAAAAGATACCAACATCGCCGAGCTCGACAAGTGTCGCCGGGAGAATGCATGCATCAAATCCCTCATCCAAAAATAAAATAACATATGGTCCTCAGGTAGCTCCAGTACTATTTTTCACTTAGAGTTTAGAGAAATTTTGTAACAGGATGATCATTGGAATTTATACGTGTGGTGCTCCTCGATCCTTTTCTTTTTGAAGTTGGTTTTATGTGCCCGACGCGAACTGCTAGAAAATCAATTGTGTGAAGAATGCAACACAAATTCTATGCCTGCAGAGAAATACAAATACGATGGTGGTCCAGTACGCTTGTAGTCTAGTGGATGAACAGACAAGCAAGCCAATGAAATGGAGAGAAAAAGATCAAATACAGAGGAAGATATCTCGCACACCGGAATCCTCACATGTGATAGGCCCGCTTCACATTCACACCATCCACACGAGCCCATAAAGAAAATATTCTCAGAAAATAATAAAACGCTAAAATTTAAAATAACAAAAGAAAAAAAAACACTGAGAAAAAGAGAGAAGGGGAAGGGGAACCGGATGCCCAGAAACTGGAACCAGGAAATCCCTAGATCCCCACGCGATCCTCTTCCTCTATAAAGCCTGCCCCCCGCGACACAGATGCACCCAGTCGCGCACTGAGACCCCCCCACGTCATCATCGCCCCATCAACGCGCAGCTCGCGTAACATTTGCAGGTCCTCGTCGCCCCTTCGAGGTTTCGGTTTGCCATGGCGGACCAGCTGAGCGAGGAGCAGATTGGCGAGTTCAAGGAGGCCTTCAGCCTCTTCGACAAGGACGGCGATGGTACCGATTTCCGCCCCTTTCGCCCTCCCCTCCCCTCCCCTCCCCTTCCCTTCCCTCATCCGCATTAGGTGATCCCGCGCGAACGCCGTCCCGATCGATCCGGCCCGGAATCGCGGATCCTGCCCCGCCAGGCGTGGGTTGATCT